TAAGGGCCTGAGTTCAATCCCCGGTTCTGCCCAAAAAAAAAAAAAAAAATAGATTGGATTCATAGTGATCTGCCTGTTTACAGCCTCTGAAGAGCTGGGATTACAGGTGCACACCACCACGCCCAGTCTCAATTGCCATTTCAGCAGGCCCAGCAGGCAGGTCCTGGGATGGAAACACCCACTCCGCCCCCTGCACCTGCTTGCAGGCACTTTAATCCACTGAGCTATTTGGCCGGCCCCTTTGTGTATATTTTTAAATTGACATAATAAGTCACTAGTTTTTAATGAATGTTTATTTATAAGACAGTATTCTGAGCAATTTGTTGCTGTTGCCCAGTTTAGTTTTCATGACAGCACTTTGAGATAAGTACTTTTATCTTCATTGCATAAAGAAGATAACAGGCAGAAGAATTTGTGAATAAGTTGAAAATTCTGAACTCGGACTCTAGTGATCTAATTTTAGATTTTATGCCCTTAACTACTTTCGTTTCATAAAAATAGCTGCTAGCTAGATTGATGTTTTATATATGAGAGGAAAGATACCTAGCAAGAAAATATTTTATAGCTTGTCTGTTATGAAATAGTAATTAAAGGCTTTGTAGATGTTAAATTTTATGGTTTGAGGGTCTTGAGTAAGATTTTATTTAATAGCAGTAATGAGCCGTGTATCTTCTGTTGCTCATGCCTACTTTTTTTCCTTTCTGGCATAATGAATAGCACACATTAAATATAATGTGTAGTTTTTTTCTGCATTGAGAAGAGAACATAATCATAAATGTTTCAGTTGCATTTTATATATTGTAGTTAAAAAATATACTTGATCTCATCACAACAGGGTCGATGCCTTTTCCTAAAATTGTTTTTGGTCTATTAATAAATTTGGTATGATAACCCTTTTTATCATGGGCTTTTCAGAGTGCTGTTCTCTTCATAAGTGAAGTGATAATGTGTGTCTTTAAGTCAGTTGTTACCAAGTATTCTACTTGAATATGAATATCCCCCTTGTTTCCTTCCCACTTATGTTTCCATTTTTATCAGATAGGTACTTTTTAGAAGGAAAATGTAGTTATTCTTTACATGGGAAAATAGTTTGCAATTGCACATTTTTTTTCTATATTACATTTGCTTTATTTTTTTCAATTATTTTATTGAGAAACAAATAGCAGTGAAACAGTTTCAAATCCTATTAGTAGGATAGTTTCAATAATTAATACATTGCATATTGTTGTCTTAGTGGTTATTCATTGTACAAGATGCAGACATGATATCCTGTTTATAAACACTATTAGAACAAATCTGTTCATTGAATTAAGAGAATATAGCTGTACACCTATCATATTTTGAATATACAGATATAAAATGGTCCTTCATTTGTATCCCCTTTTTTTGTTTCATTTTGTCAGAGATGGGTATTCCATTGTCATTTAAATATTATAGGTACATGAATTCAGCAAAATATTCCAATATAGTCCAGTAGTCCATAATAGGAGTGGGTTTTCTGTAAGACTGGCAGTGTCAGAAGTTGTTGACCTAAGCCTTTTACAGCTCAGCATATTAATATGGCTTTACTTTTTATACTTTGTTTTCATACTTTTCTGCTGGATGGTTAAGACCAAGATAAAGCAAGACCTATATAGCAAAAAATGTAACTTCTATAGCTGATCAGATCAGTCAAATCCCCTCAGGATTTATTTTGAAACCCTGTACCACAGTTTGTAGATCCTTTGTGAGTGTCAGCCATGTGGATGAGTCACAGCCTTTGCTTGACTAATTTGCTCTGTGTGAAAGCCTGAGAGAATGTTTTCTCTCCATGTGACTGTCTATGAATCTATAAATTTCATGTGTAAAATAAATTAAAATGACAGCAAAATAATGGAATTAAACTTGAGAAATGGTCATTATAATGGGACCCACTATAACTAAAATTAGATTATTCACAAGTAATGTGTGGAACCTTTATTATATAGCAAGCATGTTAATTGTTTTTTATAAATAAAAATCAATAAGTACATGAAATAATAGATATTTTTATTTAATCTTATTATTTATTTGGTACAGGGTCTTGCTATGCAGCTTGGACTCAGTGATCCTCTGTTTTAGCCACCCCAGCGCTGGGATTATAGGCGTGTGCCACCACGCCCAGTTACAGTGGCTGGCATGCCACACTCAGGGTTCCTGGCTGGCAGGACATGTAGGACCAAGGATCAAACCCAGGACCTTGCACTTGTTAGGCAGGTGCTTAGACCACGGAACTATCTCCCTAGCCCTGATTGACTGATATTTTGAGTCAGGGTCTTGTCTTGTAGTTCATACTGGCCTTGAACTTGCCATGTAGCCTAGGTGGCCTCATACTCAAACAACAGTTACAAACTTACAGTACCAGCTTGGCATTTTAACATGTTTACCAGCCATAATTCATATATTTTGCTACCAATTGGATATGCATGCTTTTTATTAATTTTGTTAGTAAAAAGACCAGTAAAAGTGATTGGTTTCATATGTGCCACCCATGGTTCAAGCAGGTAGGAATGTGTTAGTGAGAGAAATAGACTACTGTACATATAAAAGTAAGGTACTGTTTTGGGAAAATAAGGGATACTTGGTGGTTGAAAAAGCAGTGAAATGATAGAGATGTGGAATGTGAATTGGTAGAGTACTAGTGAAAAACCACTGAGGAGAATATATACATGGCATTGAGAAATACAGAAGGGAGTATTTTCTATCTTTGTGTATTAAAAGATTTTTAAATAGCTTACTCTTTTTACTGTGGATGAGTTAATTTTGTAGATTTTCCAGAAATTTATAGTTTCTTAAAATACATCAACAATTTAGTATAATTTTATCATAAAATGTAGTCTGTCTTGAAAGAATGTCTAGAGACTTGTAAAAATGCAGCTTTATTCTGTTACTGAAGCATGAAATTCTACTGATATTGTTCGAAATGTCAGTACAGAGATGGTGTTTTTGGTCTGCTCATGCCTTTTTTGTTTTTTTCAAACTTCTGGTATATTAGGAGTTAAAGAATGCTGAAATAGCTTTAAGAACACAGAAAACACCTCCTGGACTCCAACATGAGAATGCAGCTCCTGCTGAGTAAGTTACTAGGTCTTTAGTTAACAAGTATTTCTGATTTTGAGATAGCACAATAGGAGCTAGAAATGTAGTTCAGAGGTAGAATGCTTGCCTAGCATGTGTGAAGTCCCAAGTTCTATCCGGAGACAGGGTGTAGTAGTGCATGCCCTTATTCCCAGCACTTCAGAGTCTGAGGCAGGAGGATCTCTGCAAGTTTAAGGCCAGCCTGGGCTGCATAGTAAGTTCAAGGCTAGACTGAACTGCATAGTGAAAAGCTGTTTCAAAAAGACCAAAAAAATAAGTTCTATTCCAGAATTTGAAAAGAAAGCAGGATGACTATATATATATATATATATATATGTATATATATATATGCTAAGAATTTTTAATTGCTCTTTGGAAAAGTTTCATTAGTTAGCACTTTATCTGGAATTTTAAATTTACTTCTAATACCCTCAAGTTGGTAGTTTATTCTCATTTTACTGAAAATCAGTGAAACCCGAGCTAAATTTTGAACTACTATTAACAATTACACTTAACTGTTACTTATAGGCTTTATTATAAATGTTTTATGTAATAGAAATAAAATTTTTACCCATTAAAACTTTCAAATTAATAATTTTATATTTTATCTTATAAGCATACTAAGTGTAGTTTAACCCTTTCAGTTATTTGCATAGCTTTTTGTTTTTTGAGATAGGGCCTTGAACATCCTCTTGCCTTAACTCTGCTAGTGGTTAAGTTACAGGTATATGCCACCACACAGCTTTTATTTACATAGATAATACATCTTCAGAAAGAAAAATTAGGAAATGTACATAAGTAAGAAAGAAAATCTATTTACCATTGTATCGCTGAGCTTGTATATCCATCTATTTTCCATGTATATGATGCAAATTTTTTTTTTTTTTGTGAGATAAGATTTCACTTTGTAGTTCAGACTAGCCCTGAACTCATAGTGGTCCTCCTACTTTAGTGCTAGGTTTATAGGAGTACCACCACACATAGCTATTGTTCTTATGTCCTTTCCATGTTGATAAATGTGATAGGCACACATATCAAGTGCTCACTGTCTTTTAGAGAGTATGCTCAGCACTATGTACTTTGCCTCATTTTTTTTTTACAACTCCCCCTAGCTTGTATTCCTCCAGTTTTAGTGGTAGAGAGCCAGAAGTATCCAGGAGATGAGCTGAGTGGCAGAGGTCCACTTGACTCCTGATTCATTTTTTTCCTTTTAACTTTTTGTTTTATATTTTCAGACTTGAAAACTTTTAAGAATAAAACAAAAATTTTTTGTATGCTTTTCGTCCAGATCCCTTACATATTAATACTTTTACCATATTTGTTTTGTTCCTCATTCTTTTATATATGTATAAGCATTGTTTTCCGCCTGAACAATTTGTTATTTGCAGACACAGTGCACATTATGCCTAAGTACATTTTTTTACTTATATATATTAGGTGATTTTTAAAAATAGACTTTTTTAAGGTAGACTTTTATGTAATAAAATAATTACTAACATCAGGATATCAATGACAATGCTAATCCTATTATCCTCTTCAAATTAACATGGGATGTGTTTCCTTAGTGGACTTTGTCTAATCAATTATTTCTCTGTCTTGTTCTTTACACTTTGAAAAAGCTTTCAGTTACTCATTTCTTATAAAGAAAGTATAGATTGTTACTGTGAGAACTGTAGGTTATAAAATCGGCTCAGCAATTTAGTTTTTAATTGTTTGTTTCAAACTTACTTTATATTTACTGAAAGTTTAAAAATAGTACAAAGAATTTCCTGATAACCATAAGTCTGTGGTATAATTACCAAAAACAGGAAACTGGCACTGGTACAATATTACTCACTAGGGACCAGGAAGATGGCTCAGTGGAATAAGCACTTGCCTGGCAA